GGTTTTTAAAAAACCAAGCTTGGCAGGCGGTTTGAGGATCGTGGTAAGGTCACCAGAAAGGATGCTGGTCATCCTTTGGTCATTAGTAGCACTTTAAAAAACGGGTTGATAATCGACAACGCTTAAAACTATTTAGATTACCTACAACAATAATATTGTGGAAAAATGTGTTTAGAACTCAATTGTCTCTAGTACAAATGTCAATAAGACCTACATAATAACTAAACGTCTGCTGATTTCTTCAAGAATTATCGCTCTATTCATATATCGGTTTCTTAAGGTCAATGAAGGAATAAAATAAAATAAGGTTTACAACTGTGCGATCTGCACCACACACAAACCTTTGGAATGTTCTTTCGGTGGCGGTATTTTCAAATTCAAATTCAAATGTTTATTGCATTCCATAATGTTACATGTGTGTTAAGATCATTATGGATCCTGTCGGGCACAGTAAATTTCAAAATAATAAAATTAACTTATATATTATGAAATTATAAAATTAAATTATATTATGAAATAAAAATTAAATTATGATATGAAATTAAATTAAGTAAATTAAATTACACATAACGAATTTTCGAATCGATACTATCTTTAAGAAACGAACGTACTCCACTAACATATAAGTATTTACGCGGGTATTAATGCGGAAAATTATTATTTAAATACCTTGGTAGGCTTGACGTTTCGACCCGGTTGCACAGGTCGTGGTCACAAGCAGACTGAAGACGAGATGTCACAGTGCTTGCATTCGGGCGATGAATCTTCATCTACCCCCTTATTTTCGTTTTCTACCATATTAGGCCGTCTACACACTACGCTCACGTACTCCATCTTGAAAGATTGGTAACGCGCCTGTGGCTACTCAGGTGCCACAGGGGTCGATGGGCGGTGCAGATCACTTACCATCAGGTAATTTGCATGCCCGGTTGCCTCCTATTCCATAACAAAATGTTTATTTACAAAAACATGGTATAACGGTTATTATTTAAGTTACAAAATAAGTACAATATACCTCATGTAGTTCAACATAATCAATATTAACAATTTACTACATTTAAAGCAGATTTTTCAATAGTCAGTTAAATGTTGACTGCACGGTTGGCGCAGTGGCTGGACAACTAGCTGCTGTGCAACGTGTCGCGGGTTCGATTCCCGCACGGAACAACACTTTGTGTAATCCACAAATTGTTGTTTCGGGTCTGGGTGTGTTGCATGTTTGTAAACGCACCCACAACACAGGAATAAAATCCTAGAGTGGGGCAACGCAAGAAGAAAAATGTTATCTGAGGAATAAAATTGTTGCTGTCACTGTCTTATACAAACATTCTGACGCGACAGCACAATAATAATGGCCCAGGTAACTTTTACCTTACCATTGAAAAATCCCTTAATAGAAACATCACATTATCATACAAGACAAACATTATGAAGCTAGTTATAAGTTTGAATCAACCTTTAATGTGTGCCATGATTTACAAACCTCGTTTTAGGTTTTGTTTAGCAATGGGCACTTATAGGCTGATGGTATGATTTTATGTGTGATTATCGAAGAAGAGTTCGGATTCGAATCCAAAGTCAGACAAACACTATTGATACTTTTTCGGCGGCGACCTCTCGCGCCCGGCCTTAGTCGAGGCCATGGTGCGGAGTGAGAGGAACTGGGACGCCGTCTCCTCCTTTTGTGAAGCAGTCATGCTCGCAAAGAGAGAGGCGGCCCGCGTGAGGGAGCAATCTTCCTCCTCACGCCCCAGCCGCCGCAACTGGCGACACTACGGGCGTCGGGGATCGAGGGACGATCTCCGGCCACCGTAAGCACGGGTCTGCGCTCGGCGAGTAAGGGTAGCTCGCCGCTCGACCAGAACCAGGCCCGAGCGTACGGCGCGTAGCGTTCCGCGCGCGCCTCAAATAGCCAATAGACCACCACAGACGGGGCCCTAAAGGGCTGTGTTGGGCTATGTTCAGCCGGGGTTGCGGGGTAAGCGCAATGAGGCACCGCGACCTCGGCCCAGAGCAGGAGAAGGAACAGGGGGTTTTTAGTCAGTAAGAGTCTGACACTCCCTCCCGCCCGGCCCTGGGTGGGAGAAGTCATTTGATGATTTTCCCCTACAAAAAAAAAGTTGATACTTTTTCAATTATTCGAAAATTTCCCATTGTACCATTTTACTTTTTTCGAGTTATATGTTCGTTGTATAGGTACTTATTTGGACGATTGACATACATTATGAAGGAAAACATCGTGAGGAAACCTGGACTTAGGTATAATTTAATTTTTAATTATAGTTTTAGTTCTAAGTCGTCAATCCGCATTGAGCTAGCGTAGTGATTCATGATAAAACCTTCTCCGTTAGAGGCGAGGCCGTTGCTCACAAGTGGTTACATACAGGCTGCGATGATAATGAAAGCCGAGAAATTTGTTTCTTTGAAGCTTGTTGAAGTCTCCAGAACCACTGATTCGAATTGGACGACTTTTTGTGTTTAAAAGTCAATTAATCCGGAATGCTTAGGAGCCGTGCAGCGTTCTGCAGAAGTCATACTAGTATTTTGAGTGCTACATAGAAAAACTGTGCATTTTCACTGTTTCGGGACTAAACAAACACAATAAAGAAAGCGTCATCAATATTTATTATACAAACTCTTTGCTTAATGTACGAGTATGGTTGACAGACAGCCCACATGAGTGTACCGGAGCTAAGAGAGATTCCCGATAATCCCATGAGAACAGAACCACCTACAATGCTATTTTGAAGATTATAAAATATAAAGTTTTTTTTTATTTTCCATAGATTTGTAACAATATTTAAATAAGCCAAGTAACTTATTTAATTTGAATTTAATTATAACAAATGCTAACTAAAACGCTTAGGTACATAGTTTAATTTTACGCACTTAATTAAAAAGTAACTTAGGTATTTACTAACTTTAAACTGGTTTTAGTTGCAATATTAATATTAAGTTTTTTACCAGATTAATATAGAAACGTCTTTGACGGGTAAAGGCCTCCTTCAAAGATCCTAATAGTATGGTTTAGTAAGATCATATTTGGCCCAAAATTAATATGCTTTCCTAGGTATATGAATCTACCCGAGCATACGGCGCGTTCCGCAAGCACCTCAAAGAGTCAATAGACCACTACCGACGAGGCCTGATAACAGGGCGGACGTTTTGCCGGGGTTGGGGGGCAAGCGCAGTATGGTATCGGGGTCTAGGCCTGGAGCAGGAGGAGGATCGGGAGTTTTAGTCCCACTCCTCAAAGAGGGAGCTTGCCGCTACTATAACAGCTTGCTCGAGACACTACCTACATAAGGTACTATTGTACCTTATGTAGGTACAATAGTACCTTACCGCCAACGTATCTTGGCGAGTCTGAAAAAGATTCATTGCGCAGACAAACGGCTAACTTCAGACTCGCCAAGATACGTCGGCCGTACTGTACGTATATTCGACAGTATGTGCGAAGTAATACCCAGTTTCCGCAACACCGCACACAAAGCTCACACTCACATAACCTGAAATAACAAACACACTGTAAGTAGGCCATGTAAATATTTGTAAAAGGTTTCGCGATTCAAACTGCGCCGCGTAACGGATTCGCCACAGGTTAAATAAAAATGTGTGGGTAGATTTTTTAAGCAGAAGAAACTATCGAACGACTTCTCCAGCTCTGACAGGTGACGTAAAAGATTAACAGGCTGTTTTCTGAGGTATGAGAGGTCAGGGTGTAAAGTTTCTCATCCTCCTTTGTAAAGGGAGGATCCTCCGACCAAACTTCACTTGCGCGATGTTGGAATTGTACTATCTTTTCACTGTCTATACATATGCGTCGCCACAGACTCTTACTAACAAAAATCACCCTGTTCCAACTCCTTCCATAAGCTCGACCGTGACTTGTAGTTGCGTAGTAACAACGGTTTTGTGATATAAGTACTTACTAAATCTGTTTGTCAGTTGTGTTTCATCATCTGAATGACGTTACTCGAGAAAAAAAGGTTAATAGTCCCTAGAAGTAGGCAATAACATGTATGTCTGTGTACAATAGTTTTGGAATTACAGTATAAATCGTTAAAAACATTATCAATAAGTTGGTAGGTAATACTTTATAGCACCCTGACATCTGAACCCTTTATTTTTCCAAATGAAGCTAAAATAAAACTCACGTAAAACTCTTCAAATGTGACTGGATTGACCCTTAGATACATATGCTTAAAGGTAAGTTTTTCAAGTGCGGTAGAATGTTTCCTACGTAGTCACTTAACATTGAATTGATAAACCTCTATCGCAAACCCACGTCTTAAAGTACTCTTGTAAATAAATATTTTTCTCTGAATCTATATACGCCTGTATCTGTCTGTATACTAAATATTTATTTAGGACGAGTACGCAATTACGTTTATAAATTGGCTACCTAGTTCAAGTTTATAAATCAAAGTCATATATTTTTCTTAGGTATATTAAGAAAAAGGATACCTAGATGGCCTGTAGTTACCACTACAGGCCATCTAGGTATCATAATTTTGATGTTATAACCACGTTATAAAAAAAAACTGAACAACTGTATTTTTTCAATTCGTTTTTCTCCACTTCGATTGTTCATATTTTTTATTATAGGTAATTACATTTAAGCATTCTTTTGTTTACTGGATTTTGTGCATGTACCTACTTTCTTTGTTTTCCAGACTTGTGGAATTACTGATTTTCATATTGCAGGTCCACAAGATTTATTTTGAATATATACAATAGCTACCAATATATTTACTTTTATTCATTTATCGCCTATAAATCATGCAAGTGTTTTATTTTGTTAAATAAGAATTCAATAATTAAAAAAGGTTCATAATGTTGGTGTAGGTGTTTGATTTTATTCAGGGCAGGTGCCCCAACGGCGTAGGCAATAACATACTGCTACTGCTTGTAAAAAAGTACCTACTATTAAAAAAAAACTATTCCTCACTGTAAATCACTTGAATTCAATTAACTTGGGAATCTTGAACATATTCCTCACTTTGTTCGGTATCACGCATTATAATTTCGTTTAATTATTTACTATTGACTGTTGTCATTTTGACAGTGACAGTGATAGATACTGACATTACACTTCGGCAGAATTGTCTGTCCTAGTGAGTCGTTTAATCTCTTGATAGAGATTAAAAAATAATTGTTCTTTGGTTTTGATTAACGCAGTTGGACTAGTGATTCTTCCTTGCCGTATCCAAAACTTAATATACGCGTAAGGAGTCTCCGTACTCCTACAATCTTTGCAAGAAGCTACCAAGCTTCGTGTCAATGTATTCGGTGCTTATGAACAATATAAAAATGACTCTAAATCCGAAAGACGTGATAATAAGTATAGACAGACCTAAAATACTCTTGTTAAAGAAACATATAGACTACTTGGCTAAATATGGGACAGACCAAGACGATTATGAGTATAATATGACTGAATATCTTCGGATGTCGGGTATCTACTGGAGCTTGACGGCTATGGAGCTAATGGGAGCCTCTGATAGGTAAGTACCTCCTAAGTGATATGATGAAATAGTGGCCTAAAATATTAATTTACTCCAGACCTGCTACAATTTTTTTCTAGTTACCTTGGGAACCGTAGGCAGTTTGTAGAGTACAGCGGCCACATATCGAATCAGTACCGCACTCTATCCGGGGTGAGTCAAGGAAGTAATCTGGGCCCTTTAGAATTTGTTATTATGATCAATGATCTTCCAGAAGTAATAAAGAACGCGGATTGTTTACTCTTTGCCGACGACTTAAAGTTGTTTTTACAAATCGCCGATGAAAGAGATTGTGCACGCTTACAGAGTGATATTGACTTGGTAGTTGAGTGGAGCCGGAAAAACAAATTGTACTACAATGTGGCAAAGTGCAATATCATGTCCTGCACTCGTGCGGTCAGTCCTGTGCACTACATATACCAAATGGAGGGAACAGTCATCCCCCGCGTAGCATCCGTGCGAGATTTAGGAGTACTAGTTACGAAAGATCTGACCTTCCGTGAGCATATTGTGAAAGTTTGCTCCAAAGCATACAGAAGTTTAGGCTTCATAATGAGAGAAAGCAGAGACTTTAAGAATATTACTGCAATAAAAAGTTTATATAATGCATTGGTTAGGAGTCAATTAGAAACGAGTGCTTTCATCTGGAACCCCCATGAGGTTAAATATAGCCTCATGGTGGAGAAGATGCAAAACAAATTCACACGCTATTTATATTTTAAGCAGTATGGGGTATATCCATTCTACCCACTTATGTATCCAACCCTATTCGTCTTGGGTATGGTGGGATACTATAAGTTGGAAGTTAGACGCGACCTAGCACTAGCTAAATATATATTTGAGGTTTTACGAGGAAAAATAAATAATCCGTCGGTATTGGCTTCTTTGAGGCTGCTTGTCCCAGACACCAGGCTAAGGCTCAGGGCAAGACTGTTTGAGGTTCCGTCAGCGCGCACAAATTTGGGAAAATATGCACCAGTGCCTAGGGCTATAAAGCTCATCAACAAGGTAGCACTAAAAATAGATATATTTAATTGTACAATGGCGGAATTCGTAAAAGTGACTACTGACATTCTAAGTTCATGTGGATAGTTTAAGAATTAATTATTTTGTGTTTTATTTATTATATTTGATTTAGGCGGGAGCTCTTAAAATGTTTTATTTTTTATGGCAGTGGAAACTTTTGAATTATTAAATTATTATTTTTATTTGATGTATATTGGTTATGTTTTTCTTATTAAATTTCTAAGATTTTTATGTGACATTTCTAAGATGTTTATTTTTAAGTGATAAATATTTTTCTATTTTAATTTCTCTTGGACATGTTTCTTTATTTTCTTTGACTATGTAGTTTAATTTATATGATCTTAATTTTAGGTTGGATTTAATTATTCTCAAATGTTTGACATGTATAACAATATAAAACGCATTGGGTGTACACCTGTAAAGATTATATTGTAAACTTTTAAATAAATAAATAAATATAAATATAAATAAATTAACAATTGACTGCCCAGAAATTTAACTTCTACTAATAAAATAGTAAGTAGTTCTAACATACAAAGTTCTCAGGTCAGAGAGTGTTGGTAAAAATTAAAGCAGACTGAATTCTTATATGCCTTTGCCATACAGTAGTGAAATAGTTTTATACTCTAGTCTTTGTTCAAATTAGCTGCTAATAAGAATTTGATGTGGAAACACAATAACTATGTTTAAATTAAGTTTTTGTTTTTATTTGTACTAACATAACTAATGCAGAAGTGTGAACTCAAAATTATGAAATTTAAAGTATTATTTTCTGTTGAATAACAGGATGCCAAAGGATGATATTATAAACTTCATTTCAACATGTCAGAACAAGGAAACAGGAGGCATCTCAGCGTGCTTCCCACATGACCCCCATATTCTATACACCTTGAGTGCTATACAGGTTAGTTTTTTTTTTCTAAATAATCATTGGCCTATACAATTTTTCTGTTTCGAACAGTTCCTTGTAATATGTAAGCCACACCTAAATTCTTTCTTTAACCAACAATGAATAGTTTTTATCATAAAAATGGGTGATAATTTAGTTCATATTCTTTTTAAGAAGGAAAGTGATTCTGAAAATTGGAATGGGATGTGATAGAGAACTTTTTTTTATAGGTCTTAACCATGTACAACAGGCTGGATGCCATAGATGTTGAAGGTGTGGTCAAGTTTGTGGCGTCACTGCAACAACCTGATGGAAGTTTCTATGGTGTGTCTCACTTTATTTATTTAATTGATTATTTTTTTAAGTAATATTTATAATAATAACATGAACAATTCATGCAATTAAGTGTTGTTTAAAAATAAATATAATAATATAAACATCAATATTGCATTTAAAATTCCACCTGCATTGATGTCAATGCAGGCACAGAAAGTTGGTTCTTTTTTTACATCTTTACTCTAGGTACATTGCTTTTTGCTTATATCCTTTCTATGATCCTAAATTATGCAATTACTTTTTTTTACATTACTATTCTGTGCATGTTGATTTTCACTTTACTATTCTGTTATATGGTGTGTATAAAAGCTAATATTTTGTCTTAATATTTAAAGGAAGTCCTATAGTTTAACCTCAATTTTTCTTTTTATTAAAAAAATTTGTTATATTTGCTTACATTGCAACAAAAAAATTTCAAAGAAAGCACAGATAACAAAATATGTACACCAAGTATGTAAACCTCCTTTGAGAAAACAGAAAATGAATGATATCTATGTGTACTAAAATATTTGTTTTAAGAATTTGGCAACCAAAAACCTTAGAAAAGACATTAACCTTCTAATTTTGTTTTTTTTTCGTAGGACAACAAGTGTGTGGTGTTCGCTTGGGATGAATTAAAAGTTTTTTATTCTGCATATTTTATTCACAGGTGATATCTGGGGCGAGCAGGACACAAGGTTCTCGTTCTGTGCTGTAATGTGCCTCTCACTCCTGCATCGGCTGGATGCCATCAATGTGGACAAGGCAGTTGAGTTTGTGCTTAGCTGCATGAACTTTGATGGAGGCTTTGGTTCCAAACCTGGCTCCGAAAGCCACGCTGGTGAGTTAAAGTACTAAAGTATTATATCAGGGAAATAGCAGGTACCAAAAGTTATGCATTACTTGAGGCACCTATACTTGGCCCATTCTTCCAAGGATTATTGTTGGACTGGCAGTATCAAGCTGTACCACAAGAGCATGCTTGCTTTGGTATGAAGAATAGAGAAATTACATCCTTTTTAATAAAAAAAAATATCTTATAACTACCAAACAAGCAGGTAAAACAATTTTGAAATTGTCATCATTCTTGAAAGCCAAGACTGTTGAGGATATGGCTTTAATCCATAACAAATAAAAAACCCATTTGGTAGCAATTTCAATCCTTTAAAATGCCTGCCATAATCAAAATTAATTGTAATAAAAATCTGTTGTAATCTGTCTATTTTATATAATCAATGTTTTCTCTGCTAGGTCTCATCTACTGCTGTGTGGGTACTCTATCAATCTGCAAGAGGCTGGATGCACTTAAAGTGGATGCTTTGGCCTGGTGGCTGTGTGAACGTCAATTGCCCAGTGGTGGACTAAATGGCAGGCCTGAGAAACTACCTGACCTGTGCTATTCTTGGTAAAAAATTATCTGAAATCCTACTGAAGTTTTAAAAAATTTAACTCCAGTTTTGTCAAACTTCACTCTTAACTAGTTCCATTTTGTCCCTGTAGCCCCTGTAGGACCAACGAAGGACATATGATAACCATAAAATTCTGCCTGACTTACCAACCTGGCCTGAAACACGAAACAGTCCTGATTAATTATATAATTCTTACAGGTGGGTAATTTCATCCCTAAAAATCTTGAACAAAATGCGCTGGGTGGACAAAGAGCGACTGGAGCAGTTCATAATGGCTTGCCAAGACCCAGACACTGGTGGATTCAGCGACCGACCAGGAGACATTACTGACCCATTCCACACATTATTTGGTTTAGCAGGCCTTTCGTTACTTGGCAACAGTAAAATTAAACCAGTGAACCCTGTTTACTGCATGCCACAAGAAACCATTGATAGGCTAAAACTGAAACCACAAATGTTATAAATCATTTCCAATAAGTTTGTCTGAATGTGTGTATTGTAATCTAAGCATAAAAAGAATAGGTAAAGGTGTATTTTTTTGTTTATAAATACCTAGAATTATTGTTGTAAGGAGATTTACCTCTGTTATCTTAATATTTTAAAAACATGTGTCCGACCAAGTAATTTATTTGATCATCCTTCTGGTCGCTATCTGTTCCAAAAACTGATTTTAATGACTAAAGATGTAGTTCTCCTTGCTTCAATACTTGTTAAGTAGCATCATTTTTTATCATAAAGTGAATGAACACTCACGTTTTATATTTATTATATAAGTAACTATGCAATAATAAAGAAGTATTTAATGTGATATATAGCAATATCTGTGTTTTTCTTTATTGGAGTTATATACAAAAGATATCCCTAACATTCTATCTCCTTCTATTCTTCTCAAAAGTGTAAGTTGGCACTTTCCATAAATGCAAAATAGTCTTACTGGCATTAAGTGATTCTAACAATGTAAACGGTTGTAGTGGTGATTTTAGAAATATGAATGTAATTGTGTTAGTGTCATCTAAACTATTTTTTTTTTTTTTTTTTTTTTGGTTTTGGCAACTGAGTCTCCAATATAATGTTGTCGACTATACTGCCAGTGTCGAGTGGTGACGGCAGAGTAGTGTACCGTCGACTTTTAACTTTGTGGTAGTATTTACTTGTTAGTAGCTGGAAAGGACAAAACATTTGGGTTAGTAAACATATATCATCTATAAACCTACAGTTACTATACTTACCTTACGCTTAATAGATAATTAGATATATATATACATAATAATTATAACACACACAATATTTACATTATTACACACCGCTACATTTTAATATTATTTTCATTCATAAATTTGGACAGACACTTAATTAATTTGTGGGAAAAATTAGTTAGAAGGGAGTGGAAGTTGATTGGGAGTGGGATTTGGATTTTGGGAAGGTTTTCATATAGGTCAAAGGACTGGGAATTAAGAGGGCATGAAAAAAATATATGGTCTAGGGTACCCTCATCAAGACCGCATTCGCACAGCGAGCTGTCACGTACGCGTATCTTGGCGAGGAATACCGGGCTAGTACAGTGGCCGAGTCTGAGTCTGCACAAAGACGAAACAGTGTGTTTGGGGAGTTTCTTGTGCTTGGAGAACCAAGGTTTCCGCTGGATACCGGTCTGGATACTTGCATAGTAAGCTCCTTTCCGCTTAGAGGAGTCCGCCCACACTGTAGCCCACGAGTCGAAGAGCTTGAGTTTAGTATCGGCACGTATGTCATACCCATACACAATATAGTGGTGACGTTCAACATTATTCACGGCCGCAAACTTTGCCAATCTGTCAGCACACTCGTTACCGCATATACCAGAGTGGCCAGGAATCCATGCGATCTCAATATTTAGTCCGTCTCTTTGGCAGGATAGTAGCAAAGATTTTATTTCTATGATCAGATTACAATGCGTCCGGGAATAAAGCTGGTCTTGACCGAGCGCTTGTAGACTGCTTCGAGAATCTGAGAAGATAACTGAGTTGCTGAGGTTGTGCGATTTAATAAATTTGATGGACTCCAGAATGCCAACGCATTCCCCAGTGAACACGGAGGCTTCAGGGGGACATTTGGAGAGCAGAGCAATTCTTGAGTTCTGGAAATATGCTGCCACTCCTGTGCATCCATCTCGGGATAATTTGGATGCATCCGTGTAAAACACATTCCAGCCGTGCCAGTAATTGCTCAGCGCGCGCTCAAAATCACCCTTGGCGTCCACTGATGACTTTGAAATGCCCAAACTCAGAACCAGCTTAGGCCTAAAGAGAATAACCTCATATGCGGAAGAGAAAACCGGAAGGATAGGGTATTGACTGATGGGTGCAGAGAGGTTTTTAAGCTCCCTGTACCTAACAATCACGGGTGGGACAGGTTTATTGTTCCAATATGGAGAAGAACCATAGGAACAATGGATTTGCTCAAGGATAGGAAGTAGGGGATGAGAAGAGCGGGTCAGGACTTTAGAAACGAAACGGTCTGCCAGGTATTGTCTTCGAAGGTCGAGGGGGGGCTCTGCACATTCAACCTGAAGAGCGTTTATAGGGGAAGACTTCATAGCTCCAATAATTATTCTTAGGCATTTGGCCTGGATGGAATCTAGTTTTTTAAGTGCTTGCTTATTGCAGGGCGCCATAAGAAAACAGCAATAGTCCATCACACTTCTGACCAATGCATTGTATACGAGTTTCAGCGTGTAAGGGTGAGCACCCCACCATACCCCAGCTAGTGCTCTGAGTACACACACTGAACGCTCGCATCTTCTAACTACGGCTTCTACGTGATCTACCCCCGACATCCTAGAATCGAGGATGACGCCCAGGAACCTAGCCTTCCTCATAACTGGAATGGGCTGACCGTCTATCTCTATGTGAATGTCTGGAAGGCGACGTCTGCGGGAAAAAATGACAGTTGAGCTTTTTGAGGCGCTTAAAGACAACCCATGATTGAGAAGCCATTGGTGTAATGAGGACAAAGAGACATTCATGGAGGTGGTAGCATCTGTTATAGAGCTGTTAGTGACCATTAATGCGATATCGTCAGCATACTGAAGGACTCTGCAATCATAATTTAGACAGGAAGGGAGGTCGTGGGTATAGATATTAAACAGGATGGGACTAAGGACAGACCCCTGAGGTAAGCCCCTCCAGGATGTTCTCTGTAAAGGCTCATCCCCAGGAGTTCTCAATTGGAGGGTGCGGTTGGAAAGGATGCAGCCTATAATTTGGCAAATCCTACTCGGGATTCTCAGCTCTTGCAGCTTCTGCCTGAGAAGGGGTAGGAGGACCGAGTCATAGGCGGATGAGACGTCCAGAAAGACCGCCACCAACGACTCATCCCTGCTAAGGGCCAGTCGGATGGCTGAAGTGAGGGTACCCACACTGTCAGCCGTACCCAGACCTTTCCTGAAGCCGAACTGAGTCGCCGGAAACAGCCCCCGGCCTTCTATCGACCATTCCAACCTGGTCTTTATAAGGTGTTCTAAAATTTTTAAAAGTATGGACGATAGGGCAATAGGTCTGTAAGACGAATGGTCACTGGGATCTTTGCCAGCTTTCAACAGTGGCATGATAACCTGAACCTTCCAGGTAGGAGGAATATAGCCGAAAGTAAAACAGAAGTTGACTAAGTCAAGGTAGAACTGCTTCGTTTTGGCTCCTGCTTTCACCAAAAAGGAGTAAGGGAACCCATCAATCCCTGGAGCGGAGTCTCTTACGTGGTTTAGAACCATTTGGAGCTCATCCATGGAGAAATTCCTATCAAGCGGGTCACGCGATTCTTCACAATGTCCCACGCAGCATTCCTCCTCGCCAGGAACGTACAGAGGGGCAATGCTAGTAAGGAAACTGTGACTCAGACCGTCAGGCAGGATAGAAATAGAAGTAGGCTTTATGGAATTTCTAAAGCTCTTCACCCTCCGCCAAACTGTTGTTATCGGTGTTGATGGGCTCAGGGAACTACAGAAACTCTGCCACCCCTGCCTCTTCTTCTTTTTAAAAAGTTTCCTTGACTTAGCCAACACCTGCTTGAAATTAAGGAGATTTTCCAGGTTCATGTCTCGGTTATATGCCTTTTCGGCCTCATTCCTGGTTCTTATCATGGCAGTGCATTCACTATCCCACCAGGGAGGGGAGGGGATTTTGCCTTTTGGTGTGTTTTTCACAGGGAAGCAATCTTCAGCTGTAGAAGATATCAGCTCTGAAAACTTTGAAAAACACTCCAAAGGATTCTCAATATCAATACGTGGGAGGGAAGAAATGCGGATATCTAACAATTTAGAGTACAGGTCCCAATCTGCTTTTTCTAATCGATATTTTAAGAGAGGGGGGAGGGATTTATCGGGGACAGATTTAGAGAGGTGTTTGATTATTATGGGATAGTGATCACTACCATAGGTCATATTCAAACAGCTCCAATTCAGCACGCTTGCCATATTGGGTGAGCAGAAGGTTAAGTCTACACAACTGCTTCTTTGCCCAAATTCAGACCTACGGGTTGGGCTGCCGTCATTAATGGCACATAGGTTAAGCTCATCTATCATTTCTACAAACTCGCTACCTATGTTGTCGCAGGTATCGGAACCCCATCTATAATGGTGACAATTGAAGTCACCCATTACAAGTAATGGGCCACTCACTGACATTAATAAATTTTTAATTATGGCCAAATGATTAATATTAGGGTGTGCAATATAAAACATAAAAATATTTATATCCTCAGCCTTAACAGCGACAACATTTATGTCGTCGCCAACGAAGGGTAGAGGGATCTGGGTGAAGGGTACTTTGTTACTTACTAACAAAGCACATCCTCCATAACCATCAGATCTGTCATGTCTGACAACACTGAAACACGGGATCCCGAAATTAATATTCGGTTGGAGCCATGTCTCAGCAAGTCCACAAATAGATGGTTGGAATTTGTTGATAAGGTGTAGCAAGTCACTCTTCCTGGGAAGAGTACTCCTCACGTTCCACTGGAGAATTGTAAGTGGATGGAATTTTATAAATGTAATCTACGATGGTGGCTAATCTATGGGCAACGTGGTCAGGTACGGTGTGGGCAGGGTTGGATAACACTGCCATGAGCATGCTGGAAATTATGTCTAAAATGTTTTTAGAGCTGTGGGTTCCGGATTCCACAGGGAAAGCGCAACCATTCTGAGATGGGGAAAAGGAGTAGTTTTGGATAAGGGCCTGATGGGCCTTCTTATCATAACTGGGAGAAAGAGGAGCATGGGATTTGGATTTGACCAAGACAGTTTTTTTATAAGATAGTCTCTGCGGGGGTGATTTTTTGGTTGGTGTGGATTGGATGTAGTTGGTGGATTTGGGTTTAGATACCTCGGCATATGACTTTTTAACTGAGGGAAATACCTGGCTTGCTTCCGCATAGGAGATTGCCTTTTCTGCCATTAGAGCTTTAATGCTCTTTTGGCGACCTAACTCAGGGCAAGCATTATAGGTAGCAAAATGGTTGCCACTGCAATTAATGCAATGTGCAACTTCTTCGGTTACTACACATCCATCACCAGGATGATCCTGTCCACATCTAAAGCAACGTGGCTTGGAGCGGCATAGAGTACGGGTGTGCCCGAAACGACAACAGTTGAAACACTGTATTGTAGGGTATGTGTATTGTTCTATGGGGAGTGCCGAGTAAAAGCAAAAAACTTTCTTTGGAAGAATTTGCCCATCAAAAGTGAGAACCACAGTTTGGGTAGGCTTCCATTCCGTACCATTTTCTGATGACACTTTACGGTTTAACCTTCTTGCTTTGATAGCAATACCACATCCAGCGG